TCAAAAATCAAGTCTGCCTTGGAGACGTCAAAGGAGTACTTCCTTGGCTGAATGGGAGCACGATTGGGTCTCCCCCTTGTGGTCCCTCTTCAACTTTAGACAAGGAAGCACATATGTATGGCTTCCCTGGAGTTATTTCAGCCAAGTCTACCTCAACCTCATTAGCCTCGTGACCAATATGATTGATGGTATAGTCTAAGTTTGGGAAGTAAGATCCCCTTGAGGCACTCCTACGGTTCTCTTCCTCATGTAGAAGAGACTCATACCTCACAGCACAAGACATGAGTTGAAACAAGTCAGAGAACTCTCTATCTTGGAATTTCTTTCTTAGTTCAAAACTCAAGCCCCCTTGTGCCAACTTGACGAACTCCCTCTCCGTCAAATTGACAAAGCAACGGTTACGGGCATTCTTGAAGTTAGTTAAGAAATGCTCAACCGATTCCCCTGGTTGTTGGCGCATACGTGCCAAGTCAGCCATGGACACCTCGGGCTCAGATCTGTAAAATTGAGCGTGGAAGACTTGTTCCATCTGTTGCCAAGTCTGAATGGAGTTAGACGGCAAGTTGTCGTACCAAACAAAAGCTGGTCCTGTGAATGAATTTCCAAACAGTCTTAACTTAACAAAATCTCCTACATCGCCACATTGGACAGTGAAACGTCCAACGTGCTCTACAGTGGACTGATCTCCAGTCCCTGTGAATGTGGCAAACTCGGGAACTCTGAATCCCCTTGGAAATGGGTAAAGTCTATCTACCCATTCTGGGTACGGCTTACGGTATACAGGTGGCATGGCAGGTCTTACTCCCATGCCAAACTGCTCCGTGAGGAGTTGAGCCACCTGATCTCTAAGAGTGTTGGCCTCATGCCCCCCTTGTTGCCCCCCATACGGTGCAAAACCAATGGGGTCCATGCCATGCCCATTGAAATGGGGTGGCGTTGGAGTTGGGTAGCCTCGAGGTGGGATTTGATCCATGTTACCACCTAGGCCTCCTCCTACCCCCAAATTCAACGGAGCTACGTAGGGTCTTGCCTCCGGGATAGAGGGACGAGCACCCACTTGCACGGGTGGCTGCTCAACTCGAGTGTTGAACATGGTGGCGAGGTTCTCACCACGCGGGGGTACCACTTCAACTCCCACGCGTGCCTGTGACGATTCCCCCACTTGAGTTGTAGCAGGAATCTCGACATCACCTACTCGACGTGGAGGTGGTTGGCTTGCCGTTTGAGGCGACAAGTTCTCTTGCCGTGGTTGGCCATTCCGACCACCGGCGGGAGAAAGAACATTATTAGTAGGCGTTAGGCCTGTGCCATCTAATGGCAAAGCTCTTGACTGCCCTACTGGTCTAGTTAGAGTTTGTCGAAACTGATCCAACTCATTTGTGTTTTTGTTAACCACCTCAAATAATTGACTGAAACGTCTATCAATGCGAGAATTGAGACAGTCCATTTGAGAATTTACCTGATGTGTACTGGCCCGAGTCTCCTCCATCATGCGGCGGTTCTCCACCAGCATTTGGCGGTTCTCCTCTGTGGCTCGAAGGTTGTCAGCCACCATCTTGCGGTTCTCTTCTGTAGCTTGACGGTTCTCTGCCACCATCTTACGGTTCTCCTCCATCATCTGACGAAGGGCCCCCACTGCTTCGCCGAGATCTCCACCAGGCGCGGTCGCCATCAAGATCTCTGCTCCACCGTTTCCTCCGGTCACCGCGTCGGACGCTTGGCCATGCTCGATGTTGGCCACCTGCCCCTCCACGAATCCAGCCGGAACGTCACCTTCATGGTTCCTCCGCCTCGGAGCCATTGAATCGACCACAAGTGTCCCACCAGGTGTGCCAAATTTGTTCTCCGGTGAGAAAACTTGCGTTGAATTGATATTGATTGCACCTTGACTTCTTTGGACAACGATTACTAAGACACGGCTCACACCTCTTCAAACACAGTTCGAACGAGGGTGATCGATGTTTACACGACTCTCGAGACAGATCTACATTAAGTTACTCCTACTCCTATGGAGGTTCAGTGAGAGCTCCAGATCTACGACTACGGCTAAAATTGCAGAGGAAAGGATAAAGGGATAAAATTTGACATAGTGTTGTCTGGTGTGAATTTGGCGACCCTTCTCTGACAACTCTTCCTCCTATTTATAGGCTTGAGGTGATAACCGTCGTAGAAAACTGTCTGGAGAGTAACTTGCAAAAAGAACCGCTTCCCTTCTTTCCCGGACGTGGCTGACGTGTCCTTGAACGTGGAGTAATTGACAGTTTCTCAATCAAACCGTCGGCTCTCCCTTTTGGAACTGACGTCTTGTTACTTGCCCTTTCCTTTACCATTGCTATTCCAGATCTCGCGACAAGGCTGTTTGTCAAACATGATGACAATGCTACGAGGTGGTTTACCAAACTTGGCGCGATGAGGCTTGTCGCGACGAGGCGGTCTACCAAACTCTACGCGAGGAGGCTTGGCGCTTAGACTTAGTAGAGGCTTGGCGGACTTGCGATCAGGTGGCCTGGCGGACTCGTGAAGTGGCCTGACACGAGGAGTCTTGGCGCTTGAACTTAGTTTATTTTGTGTCCTTCTCCCCACATATCTTGTAGACTTGCGATGTGGTTTAGACAAGGCGGTTTGTCACGACAAGGCGATCTACCAACTTGACGCGAGGAGGCTTTACGCGAGGAGGCTTGTCGCGATGAGGCACCAGACTTAGTTTATTCTCATGCGTCATGTCAGGCCTAATCATTTGGGTTTAAAAATCTAGTATCGTAGGCCCAGTTTAAATAACATTAATTGTTATTGTTGATCTGGCCTTATAAAGACAGTTAATGTCTTGTAAATAATCAATGTGGTACACGATTATTTTTGTAGTGTAAACAGCTAGCATAGCATGGAACACGAACACTGACCAAGCTACGAACATGGGATTTGGTTAGGTTAAGTCATTCTTATGATGATGCTTACAACTTACTCTGCCTTTGCATTCTCCACATCATGGCGAGAACGTTCATAAAAGTAAAGAGGAAAACAATCATAGACAGTTTGGACCCCATTCGTCTAGAAAAAAGGTTATTTGCTACCCCGAACGAGCAATTTTTCAATTTTGCCAAACTTTGACCGACTATAACTTTGTGCTCCGAAATCCGAACGTTTGTGGATTTGTAAAAAGTAAAGGCAAAGTTATTCCCAAAATCTTGTATATCCAAAAATACTTCCTTTTTTGAAAGTTCCTTCTTAGTAAAAGTTGTAGCACTTGAAAAGTTATGCAAAATAAAAAACAATTCATGACTTTTAGAGTGTGGAGCACAAAGTTATGGCCGGTCAAAGTTTGACGAAATAAAAAAATTGCTCGTTCGGGGTAGGAAACGAAGTTTTTTCTGAACGAATGCGAGACCAAACCGTCATGGCTGTTTGCTGCTTGCAAGATCTCAAAAAATTACGCGGAATAAAAAAAAACTCGCTACAATCGGATAACCGAGCGCAAAGTTACGTTCGTTCGAATTTTCAACTCAAATTAGGCATTCACCGCTTTGGTCGGCCGCGGTGAATGCCCAAACATGTGTAGATTGAGAATTTTTTTTTTATAATGTGTGTATTTTGAGAATTTTTTTTTAAAAACATGTATATTTTGAGAATTTTTTCTAAAATATGCAAAGAACAAAGCCTTGATATGAAAATCTACAAAATAAAGAAGAATACCAATGATGCGTATTAACTAAAGGCTCCAGTGCTTTAAAAACTAACCATCTGGGTCCATAGTCTTCCATCCTGTCCCTCCCGTGCAAACTCCGACCTGACAAAACTGAGCAAAAAGGACCCCAATCTGAAGATATGAAGATGGTCTAACATGACGAACAAAAGGAAATAAATTCATACCCGATCCAATCCGTCAATTACAAAAAGTGAGTTAAGAGAATTAGGTAACCACCCAACCCGACACATGTAAAACTCGTTCTCGACCCAAAATTTGTTAACACCGAGTTCAGTTCGCTCTAACAGGGTCGAATTACGCTGAATACCCATTGATTTGAGTCCAATTTGGGCTAAATTCTTCATAAGTTAATTGATTAGAACCCTAATGGCAAGCATGTAAAACTCGTTGCGAACCAAAATTCGTCAACACCAAGTTCAACTTGCTTTAACCGGGTCAACTTCAACTCGCTTTAACTGGGTCGAATTAGGTCGAATACCCATTGATTTGGGTCCAATATGGGATCAATTTGTTATAGCTTAATTAATTCGAAACTTAATTGCAAGCATGTAAAACTCATTGTCGAACCAAAATTCTTCAACACCGGGTTCAACTCGCTTTAACCAAGTCTAATTAGGTTGACTATCCATTGATTCGAGGTACAATTGGACTCAATTTTTCATAAGTTAATTAATTAAAATCTTAATGGCGCAAAATCTCCTCCAAGCTTTGGTTAATTACAGAAAGAGCACAAAATTCATCAACACCGGGTTCAACTTGCTTTAACCGGATCGGCTTCAACTCGCTTTAACCGGGTCAAATTAAGTGAAATACCCATTGATTTGGGTCAAATATGGGCTCAATTTGTCATAACTTATTAATTAGAACCTTAATGGCAAGCATGTACAACTTGTTGTCGAGGCAAAATTCGTAAACACCGGGTTCAACTCACTTTAACCTAGTCTAATTAGGTCGATTACCCATTGATTTGGGTCCAATTTAGGCTCAATTTATCATAAGTTAATTAATTTGAACTTTAATGGCACAAAAACTCTTTTAAACGTTGGTTAATTACAAAAGAACATTCTTACGATGTGACTCTATGAAATAGTGAATGAGTTAATGTTTGATATGATGAATATTAACACCACGACAATACTATAAAAGTGTTGTATCTTTCCCCTTTTTGTAAAACTATTCCACCGAGCATTATTGCACATAAAAATCAGCCCCACTTATTATTTTTGTATTTTTTTTCCAATTCCTCTCCATCTGCCCACTTATTAAAACACAAAATTCCATCACTTCTCCTTAGTCCTTACTTCTTGTTGAATATCTTGATTCCCTTCCAACGCGACTCCATGTAATCGGAGGCACCATCCTGAGCATAGACTCCGAACTTGAAGTAATGAGAGCTCCCGCCATGATCCGCTCCTTGATAAACAAGAACCCTATCAACATAAACAACAACTTCTCTCGCCTCGACGTCGTGAATCACGTTCAACCTAAACCATCTGTCGTAGATGTCGGGAACAATGGTGGATCTATAAGCAGCCAGAGCACCGTCGTAAACTCGAATGGCCACCGTCGACGCGTGGCCGCCGGTGCCCGCTCCAAACACCTGCATTACGCACACACCGGACGTGCCGCGGGGCACGTACCCCTGCCCTTCGAACTGCCACACTCCCGACGAGTAATCGTATCCCTGCATGCGCGATAATACGAAAGTGATCGCGCAATACTGGTTCGCAAAGTATTTTTTTTTTAAAGGAAAAAAAACGAAAGAGGAGTCGTTTGGTTTGTGTGATCGCGTTACCGTTATGTGAACTTCGGTGCGTGGCTTGGTGTGGCTGTCCCTGGTGTGCGGCTTGTCCGTCGAGTAGACCTCGAGCGTGTGAACGCCATTGCGGTAGCTGTAACGTTCCTCCTCGCGCAGATCGTACGGCCACTGAATCTCCATGTGGGATTCTGTAAGTGGAAGCGCGACGAACCCTTTCGTGGGATCGGCGATGATAGTAGTATGACCATGACTGTCTCTTCCTTCTGCTAGAACCAGCAGCCATGGAAGCAGCAGGTGATGAACAAGAACTAGCTTCGCGAAACCACCTTTGAAGGCGGAAATGGAAGCCATTTGATGATTTCCCACGTACCCTTTTATGAACTGATTCATCGTGAGCACTTGGATTCGTAAGGCCATTTTATACAAGGCGGATGAAGAGTAGAGGGATATATCGGTAGTAGCTTCATCAGGTTAATTACGTTCTCTAGATAGAACCGCCTCAGGACCAAATCGGTGTTAGGATCGGATAGTACCAAATCGAGTATAATACAGTCCCGTCTTTGGTCTTATGAATTTTATAATTACTAAAGAAAATATGGACCAATTGATAATTAGACCGGACCGAATACAATGATGGTCCGATTCTTGATCCTGAGATATCTTTCAAAAATATATCGTCGTTCTCATGAATTTGGTCCAGTACGGACTGGACCGAACTGTTGCACACCCCTAATTGCGTCCTATGCATATAGTGATTTTAACTTCGAATTTTTTCACAGAGAGAATTTTGGATTCCTATATTGTGTGTTTTTGGTTTTTTGGGCAAGAGATTCATATATTGTTAGAATCCTAGCTATGGAATTTTCCCAAATGCGCCTGTGTGTGGTTAAGTTAAGTAAGAAAAGCTTCAAGTTTATTGGGAGGTATATTTAGTTGGGATTGATATTGCGAGGTATAAATTTTGAATTGTGAGATAAGCTTAGATCCTTTTTGTCTCTCTCTAACAAGACTTGTTCTCGGAATTGGCTCATAATATCGTCTTTGATTCTTTTTCTTAACTTCTTTAACATAATATATTTGGCATTAATAATTTGTTGAACTGTTTACTGAAATATAAATTGACTACTTCTTTAATTAGGAGAGATGAGATACGGTGCCAATTAGGGTGACAAATTCACAACTAAGGGCGAAAATGATACTAAACAATGTTACTCATACTAATTAATATTGAGAAATAATTAGTTCGCGGATGGTTGATTTCCAGAAGTTGCATCGGCGTTTATGAGAAATTATAGAGGAGGTCGACCGAATGTGTTGTTTCAGTAATGTGAGGTTTAGCGGCGCGGTCGATCGTCTATAGAAAATGGTCGACCTTTTTGGGGGTCGAACAGAATGAAAGGTCAACCCAAATACCTCATAGGCCGACCATTGTGCTCCTAATAGGTCGACCGCATGCACACCGTATCCGTATTGGATAAGAATTCTAACACCAGAAAGGTAACCCTAACTTATCTACCACTTAATTCGACCCATTCACGTCCTAAATATCTATAAATACGAATATAAGTTACCTTCAACGCCACCAAAACTCGGAATTAGGTTTTTTTTACGGTTAGGGCCTTTGTGAAGAAGATCATTCGCGTGCAGACTACCATTCAGTCGAACCTTATCTCAATTAGGTCGACCTTTGTTTGACAATTGTTCGGAATTGAATTTATGGCACAACACTCGGACTTCCGTACTTGCGAGGTAACAAAGATCAATCCAATAGGTCGACCTAATGTTATTCAAGGTCGACCATTTCTGTTTGTTTTGGTTGTTCATCCTGAATGTCGACTTTGACTTTGTTTGTAAGATTATGTTGTGCTTAAAAGTTCGGCCGCTCAAGCTGTCTGGTCGACCTATCCGTTTTCAGGTTAATATTAAACTTGTTTTTGTTGGTGAATTGTTATTTTCATGTTGGATAGGTCGACCTAGGAAGAGCAGAGGTCGAACTTAAAGGTTCTGTAGTCACAATTTGTCATCAAGGTAGACCATTCGTGTAAAGATGTCGACCTAAATGGGTCGGATTAGCTTTTTACTTACTTCTCCTTGTCCAATTAGGATTTTGCGTACTTGTCCTTGTCGAATTATGATTTTATGTATCCTTCACCAATTGGGATAAGTGTTCCCCATATTAGTGAGAATAAGGAATTCGTCTACATTCTCTATAAATAGATGGAAGTCTTAAAGACTTTATTCGTACTTGATTTATGCAATTTGTTGGAGTGAAGTTGTAATCTCATCGCTATTATTGTGACCGTATCATTAAGTGGTTGCCTTGTTTGTTAATGTATGTTTTGATGTGTCGTGTGTGGTGGTTAACGGTTCTCTATGGTTCACCTTTTCCCCAATTAGGTCGACCACCTCACCATAGCGATCGACCTCATCTATGTAGTTCTATGATAAGGTCGACCTCTCAGTTGATCCAGGTCGACCTCATCTATGTAATTTGGTGATAAGGTCGACCGCAATGTTGATCCAGGTCGACCTGACGAGACATAATTTTGATTTTATTTAACATACAATTCGTATTCCGACCATTGCAGGATGGATAATAGAGATGATACAGATAATAGAGATGCTGATGAGATTAACTTCGATGAGGAACCTAAGGATGCTCGAGGAGGATCTATGGATTGTCCAAATGATATAGATAATAGAGATGCTGACGAGATTAACTTCGATGAAGAACTTAAGGATGCTCAAGGAGGATTTATGGATAATCCAGATGATGAAGTGATTGGGGACGATGATGAAACGAAGGGTGATGAAGAAGCTACTGAATATGAACAATAAATTCCTTCCATGGAGTTACAAAAATTAGAAGATGCAGATAAATTTTATGATGCCTATGCTAAAGCGAAATGGTTTAGCGTTCGACGTAGAGATCTTCGGAGGAGTCGTTGAGGAGTAGTAATTGGGAGGTCAATGGTATGTTCGAGAGAGGATAATAGACAGAAGATGCATCTAGATAAAGAAGGTCGGACACGACAACATCGTAAGATGACAAGACATTCTTGCAAGGCATCGTATACTGTACGCTTTGATCGGAATAAGAAAATGTGGGTTGTTTCTAAGTTCGAGAGGAAGCACTCACATCGTTGTTGCAATGAAGAAGAAACTCAATTCCTTCGGTCTCGTCGAAATGTGAGTGAAGGAGACAGGGCTTTGGCGATAGGGATGCGAAAGTCAGGAATTAAACAACACCACATTGTTCAATACATGAAGAATAAAGTTGGAGGATATGAGAATTTGGGGTACACTCCAAAGGATGTGGATAACGCTGTTCAAAAATTCCGAACAGTTGACGACGATTTAATATTAGATGTTAACCAAACATTGGGTTACTTGCAAAGTAAACATACTTCTGATGTTGGCAGCTTCTTCAAATACACAACCAGTGATGAAGATGAATTAAGCAATCTCTTCTTGTCGCACTCCACATCTAGAGCAGATTACCATTTTTTTGGAATGTCTTGGCGTTTGATGCATGCTACAAGCGCAACAAGTACAATCGACCATTTGTTATGATGGTTGGTGTAAATCATGACCACCGTAACATCATATATGGTTTTTCCCAGTTGGATAACGAGACAATACCCAACTAAATTTGGTTGTTGAATACTTTTCTGTAGTGTATGAACTCTAAGATGCCGACCTCGGTGATCACAGTCTGATGTAAGTCTATGCGTGGCGTCATTGCTACTGTTCTGGTTGGAATGTCTCATCGTCTGTGTATTTGGTATATTGATACAAATGTGACAACAACCGTTCATAATAAAGAGTTCGTTAACGCATTCACCCACTTGGCGAAAGCACGTATATCAAGTGAGGAGTTTGAGAGCATTTGATTAGTGAGCATGGTTTGTCTGCAAATAAGTGGTTGCAGGATTTGTACGCTAACAAATTACTTTGGGCAGAGGCATCCTTGAAGGATATTTATTTCGGTGGACTCCAATCAACCTCGCGATGTGAGTAATATAACCATTGAATAAATGGGTATGTGGGAACTCAGTACAACTTGCAACGTTTTGTTCAGGGCATTGATGAAGCACTGGAGGGGATGCGTTTCACGGAGGTGTAGGATGATTATGCTTCTAGGCACACGAGGTTGGTCTGCAAGCATGCCCTTCGCACATGGGAAATGCAAGCTGAAAGTATCTACACACATCGTACATTTGCTATCTTCAAGTCTGAACTAGAGAATGAAGCTTTTTATATATTAGCGGAGACAAGAACTGAATCAGATGGGACAGTGACATTAATTCTGAAGAACTGCATGAACTCAAATCGGATAAGGAGGTTAACATTTACTACGACCAATCAAGATATAAAATGTGAGTGTGCATTATTTGAATCGAAGGGGTTTCCATGCAGACATATGCTTACAGTCATAAAAAATAAGGGATATACAACACTACCTTCCACGTGGTTCAAGCTTCGATGGACCCAAAATGCGAAGACACTATATCGTCATCCTGGAGTTGGAGGTGATGTGGGATAGAAAGTTGGTCAAATGGTAAGACATGGGGGATTGTCTCTAAAGTTTAAGCGTTTGTGTGACATCGCGTGTGGTAGTGAAGTTACTTTTAATCATGTCTCTAAGTCGTTGGATGACCTTACTCAATGGGCAATTGAGTTCTCGAGGGAGAGAATGGATACCGCTGCACCTGCAAACCCTCCAGCACCCCTTCGAAGTGTGAAAGACCCAAAAATAGGGAAGACCAAGGGGACATTCAAGTCAGCACGCACTGCATCGGGCAAAAGCATAAGAAAGTGTTCGAAATGTGGGACATTTTCGCCCTAAGTGCCCAATAAAAGTCCCAAAAAAGGATCTTAAATTTCTTCTATTGTTTTTTAGGAGTTTATTTTTATTTAACTGTGATTGCCTTGTTTTATTTTTGAATTATCTTAATAATTTATGAGTTAGTTGATTGTTGGTGGAAATAAACCAACACATAAAAAAGGTCGACCTGCTACAAGACACAAACGACCTAATACACTGCGCGGTCGACAGTGTACGCATTGGGCTGACCAAACCGGTTTGTATGACAATATCAACCCAAACCCTATACTTCCATACCCTATTTAAGAAACCTCCTCCACTCATTCTATACCACAAACAAACCCTATCCCAC